AACGAATAGAAAATATTCTATCAAACAATTTACAAATCCCTATTAAATTTAATGAAGAAAATATACAAGAAATATACAAAATAATACACATTGACCTTCACCCATTGAACGATAGAATCATATTTTCAATAAAAATGCCATTATGTATCACCGAAATTTTCAAATTGTATTACATTCTACCTATATACGTTCCAATCAATGAACACGGGCAATTCATACATATCGCTGAAAATCCAATGTATTTATTAACGGACGATGTAGTTACAAAATATTTTATTTGATTAAATATCAATAACTGTTTAATAGTTGCTGACATTTTTGTTTGTGGTTTCAATGAAATCGTACACAATAGTATCACTGATCCCACTTGTGTAACAGAAATGTTAAAAAATTCTATAAGTAAACCTACGCAATGTGATACTTTTATCACGGAATTTAAAAAAGAATTTTGGTACGCATCATTTTTCAAAAATAATTGGTACTTTGTATGAGAAAACCCTACTGCAGTTACAATAATATGTAATAATCGATCTTTTATTCGTAAACTAACATTAAAAAAATTTGAAAGCTGGGTGTCAAGCTCATACGACTAAAGGCGTATTAATAACAGAACAAATTGTAGAGTCGTCATTTGTAACACTTCCTTTAGAATTAAGTATTTTAAACGATTCATGTTGCAATATTACACTTCATCAACGCTTTCCGAAACCTATTCATTTAGACGAAATTAAAAATCTAAAATTTGATAAAGAAGCTTTTAATAAAATAATTTCAGAATTAAATACTCAAGATGAATTACTAAATTMGATATTATTAAATAAGACGTATGAATTTGTATATACCAACAAATATTTAATCATTTTGATAATTGTTATAATAGCATACGCCAGTATAAAATTGTGTATATAAAAAAAAAAAAAAACATAGGTCAGCTTTAGAAAATATACATTTAGATTATTGTCCCGTGTCCACTGTTCCAAAATAAAACAATACATTTTACTTTATATTTTAAAATAATATTTTATGCATGTWAATTTAAATCTTTTRTACATTTATTCATAACAGGTAGTTGCATTTTATTTTTTTAAGAATTTATTAACGCATTTGTTAATTATAAGTTTTAGAAATTTGTAATTTTATATTTTTAATGTGATATTTAATGCATTTCATATTTTAATATTTATAAAATAATTTATAATTAATTGTACAATTAATAATTATACAATTACATATTAAGAAATTAAAATAATTATAATAGGTACTTATGAATAAGCTATAGTCATAAAATATGAMATTTTWTTTGTAATAATTGAATATTTATAATTTGTGTAGAATATATTATTATAATGTACAATAAATGTTATAAAATTTAATTTAATTTGGATTTTTTTTATTATATACCTAATTATTCCGATATCATTATAATGATTTTTGACTTATCAAAATAAGTCGAAAACAAAAATTGTAGTAACTGTTTTATTATAATCTACATACATTACTAACCAAAATAATGTTTGGCAATTTTGTATAGCAATGTTTTTATTGGATTTACACATGAATCTTTTTATCTTTATGAAAAGGGCGTAATAATAGTGAACAAAAWATGGCATAAAAACATGGTTTAGTACTTTAAGAAATACGTCTTATTGAAGCGGTCTACGGTAAAAATACCTATCATATAAATCGTAGAGGAAAGTTTTATTTAGAATCGCAAGAAGTCGGATTTTAGATATTTTTATTGATTAGTTAAAAATTAGTGTATAAAAAGTAAAAATCGCTAGCTATTTTATCATGCAATATTGTACAATTGGAGTACGATATCAAAAATCGGTCTTCTTACGATTCTAGATAAAATTCTCCTCTACAATTTTTATGATAAGTATTTTTACTGTAAACCMCTTCAACAAGCCGCATTACTTGAAATATGAAAAATTGGTTTTTATATATATATAATTCAGATACGCGCGAATACGAATGTCGAAGAAAACTAAAATAAGTAAAATATAATATTCATCTCTAAAATAATTATTTCCTTATCTTGGTATTTTTATTCTATGCAAGGCTGCGATGCGATAGAAAACCTGTTTTGATCTATGGTGCGGTACTGTCGTTATTGCGGGCGGGGTGGTGGTATTACACCGTAGGCTACTGCCGCTGTTTACGCCGTTTACGACCGCCGGACCGCAACACATGTCGGGCGTAAATTAATCGTTTTTTTTCCGAAAAACGTGGTTTCGTACTTCAAGTAATATGGCTTATTGAAGGGTTTTACAGTAAAAATACCTATTATAAAAATTGTAGAGGAGAATTTTTTCTTGAATCGTAAGAAGCCCGATTTTTTATACATATATTATTCTAATCGCCCAATATCGCATAGTATATTAACAAGTTTTTTTAAACTTTTTATCGACTATTTACTAAACTAATTAATAAAAATATCGAAAATTGAGCTTCTTAAGATTCTAGATAAAGTTGTCCTCTACAATTTTTATGATAGGTGTTTTTGCTGTAAACCGCTTCAATAAGCCGTATTATTTGAAGTACAAAACTATGTTATTATGCAATATTTTGTTCACTAGTGCGCCCTCTTAATACTATATTATTATTCCAGACAATTCTATTTTTATAATAATCCATATTATTGGTTTATCATTGTATTTAATTATTTTGGTATTTATTACAATTATTATTATGGTAAATCTATTATTGTTATGATGTTTATGCGATCTAGTATTATTATTTCCCGATTGTCACTAAAAATAAAATACAGCATTATATTTTCAATAA